AGTTTGATCGACATAAGTTCCCAATTAAGCTTCCCATAAAGTTAATGCTTTCTCAGACTCCCAAAATATCTAGGAAATAACTATGGACCATCTTAATTTTCTGCAATTGATATATCTAATAATGGGTAAATTATAGTTGGAGGGACAACTACTGATGGAGATCCATTGATAAATACATCGTTTTTCTTCTTGATACAAGTTGACAGATCTACTAAATGGATTCATAGCATAAGTAAAGTATACTACTAGGTTTATTCGATAAAGCAAGATATGGATGGAAACGAATTTGCAATAGTCCTTTCAGGATCGAATACTAAAGAATACATCTTAGTTATGGGTTCTGTATCTCTTTTTAACGCTAAAGTATTAAAGTTAACATTTGCAAGAAGCCCCTAGATTCTTAAGAAGTCACTTTATATTGATCAAAATTAAACAGTATATCTAATTTGCAGCTTTTAAGATACTGATACTCATTACATTATTGTTTATAATTATGGAGTTGTTTAGAAATTTCAAATAACTGGAATTACTGAAACTAATCCTACAACTGTTTCCGGCATTATTTTGAAAAACCCATTTTTTGCAGGCAATGATTTCAAAGTTAGAATAATTGGAAAGATTTAATTCGGTACTAGTCCCATTATAAGGACTTGAGGTTTTATTTCCTATCTTGACACAAAATAAAATTTGCTATATGCTATTAAATAAATCAATATAAATGGAATGGATCTATAAGCCTAAAGTTAATCTGGTCAGATGGAATGGTTTTGTGGAAGCGATGATTAGTATATTCATTTTTCTGTTATCAATGGTTCATCACAATACTCATTGTAATTTTTATCATATTAATCCTTTAGTTAGTTTAGTTAAGAAGAATCGAAATGCTTGTCAGTTCTCCCAGAGAATAATATAAATATGAATGCTTATTTGCTTTTACACTAGTAATATAATCATTATTCGTCAATAAGTATTTAACCTTTTTTCATTAAAACATTATAGTTATTGCAAAAATAATTTAACTTGAATTAAGTAGTGTATAATTCTATCCCATGAACTTTGATAGTTAATATAATATTCATGACTCAGTGATTGGAATCAATAGCCGTAAGTAATGATAGTTAATATAATATTCATGACTCAGTGATTGGAATCGATAGCCGTAAGTAAAAGATACTTTCAAATTTCAACTAATAATATATTTACGGATAGGCTACTTGCTTTTCGTGGGAGATACTCTATCTCTAGGTAACAGTACAACAAAGTATAAAGGTCGTGATTATTTTGGATTTCTCGACAGCTACAAATTTTAATACTCTGCCTTTGCTGATTAAAATTTAACAAGTGGTAGTGGTGTATTAAATTAACTTAGCATGAGCATTTAGGATCAACTTTAAAATGTTACAATACTAAATTCAAGTTAGCCTTTAGCAAATTAGATTGTATATATCTCATTTAATGATTTGAATAATTCATATTACCGAGCTTTAGATAGCACTGTTTCCTCTAAATTAGCAATATATGTTGGAGGAAAAGGCATTAATTATCAAAAAGTTATTATTGAAGATGGAGATCAAACATTTAATCTGACTATTATTGCTGAAAATAAATATTGCTCTGATATTAATGCCGATTTTAGTATGTAAACCTTAAATGGCTTAGAATTAGATTTAGAATATTTAAAGATTGAGAATAATAATCTTTAATTTTTTGCCTCAATATATTAAAATGATAGTATAAACATAACCTTCGTAATTCAATCTTAAGTTGATGTTGCAAATGAAGAAAAATTGTAATAAGAATTTACGGTTCAAATTGTAAGCCTTTGTCAAGAATATATTGATAAGATTGCTAACAATTATACAATAGAGTTTCTAAATTTTGAAAATTCTTAGCATTTATTTTCACTTCCAAAGGTTGAAGCACTACCAGCTTAATATGCTAGTATTTGTGACATCAAGTATGAATATGCTTAGCCTAATCCTTAGCTAGATAAAATAAAACTGGACTACTTAAATGATACACATGAGCTTAACATATCTTTTGTATAAACTAATTTGACTGAAAATTTTTCAATAAGCCTAATTATAAACTACAGATAGACTAAAAGAATAATAAAGTATATAACCATCAGTGTGATAAGTACATGTGTTTATTCTGGCAAATTTATTCCAAACTCTCCT